AGTTTAACATCGAAGATGATGAAACTCTTAGAGATTTTTTGCGGATTGCGGATGAATACAGGGAATTTATTGTAATAAAATTATTGAAAATATACGTCAAGGTTGAAGACGTTCCCAATAATGAGGGCGTGCATAGTAGGGATAACCCCCAGTCATTGGGTGATTATTCTGGAGTAATTTTTGTCGGACAGATTGCTGATGAAAGAGCTTGCCTTGATTTAAATTTGTCACCACCGGCGAATGAGCAGCCACAAAATAATTTTTCGACTTTATATAATCCACAAAACAACTGGTAAACTTCAATTTTTTTACGATTTAGCGATGTTTATTTTATGTTTTAATTGAATTTGTATTAACAGTCATATTTTTCATAGGGGGAACCGTCCGGATATGAATTTTAATCCATTTAAATCGCTTAATTCCTTTATTTATTTAGCTATTTATCAATTGACATTGAATTAGATCACGTCTCCTTATAAACACATTGCAAGTTTAATTGTTACTCGTATTTCGAGGTAAACAGTTATACTTGATGATATATATAAAAGTTTCTTTAATTTTTTCCATATGTATACTTTTTATATTTTAAATCTTTTAGTGAAATAGATAGACATGAATATACAGTCACACCTCTCTATAACACATCTCTATATAACAGTTATTCACTATAAAAGTCTAGTTTTTCTCATAACTGATTTTTTATGATATGTTTTACCTCTCTATAACAACATTCTGCCTATAACAACAACATCCATCTTTATGACAGTACACTCTTTGTAAAATTACCCCTCTATAACGACCATGCAGATTTTCTAAGATTATTACTAATAACAATTCTAAATATTTAAGCAAATATTTTATAACTTTAATGTACAACTTATAATAGCTATATATATTATCTTTAAGGATAACAATATGTCCATTAATCTTGAATTTTGAGATTTTGAATTTTAATATTTCATTAATCTTTTATATATAATATTATAAAAGAAAAATAATTTGTTTTTGGATAATTTTTGTTTATAACAGCTAAAATATATTTAAATATCAAATGTTGTTATAGGTGTATAACAGTCATTCACTATAAAAGTCAATTTTATTTTAAACAACCAATGCTATTACAGAGAGGGTTGAACGCATATATTGAATGTGATAATTGTGCATGGTGGTGATCACCCACAAAACCAATCACATCCATAGATCATTGCGACATATTGCCTCAACTAATAACCAATCAAGTACAGAGATCATGCCAACTTTTTGAATATAAATTTTAGTTTTCACTTTTCAGAACTCCAAAATTGTTGTAAATTTCTGCAAGTGACACCAAATCCTACAACAACACGTGGCTGCAAATGGACGCTTTCTCGTGCTCTGCGTTGTAAAATAACTTTATCCCAACTCCCCAGAGACAGAGGCTCTCTTTCGTCATTCTGACGTCAACCCAAACCAATCCCTGAACACCGAAACAAGGATACATTTGTCATTTCATAATTTCACTGTTTCACAAATAAACAGAAATAACTACTCCCTTCTTCTCTCAAAGTCATAGCACCCGCATACCAATCCTACACAATTACTCTTTCAATGTAAGTCAAACGATTACTGATATATTGACATTTTTTAAAATTATAAAAATGGAGTTTTCTGCTCTAAGATGAAAACAAATGTTTGAATTTAGAGCCAAAATCACATTATATTAGCTCTCGCACTCAAGCTTCGTATTTTGATAAAGGTTGTCGTGTATCTAAACTATTTCACTGAATATGTGCTACCTTCTAATGACATATATATCGAATAACTCTACTCACAGTCTCACGCTTAGGCAAATAAGAAAAAATTATCTATTTTTGTCTATACTACTCTTATTCAAGCTTTATTAAATTTTTACTGAAAAAAATATTTAAATCTTAAAACTTTGAAATGATATTCTCCTTAGTCTCTTAGGGGTTGACTGGCAGAATATATTTGAAGAAATAATATATGTATTAAGTTTAGTATTATTAATTTCTTGTTTGACGGTATTTTTTAATATATATATTTTATATTAGTTATACATCGGATTCAGTGCTATTCGTATACATAGCAAAATATGACATTAATAATACCATAATTTTTAATACTTGATAACCACGAATAAAGACAAAACTATCTTTTATAAACTTTTTCCAAATACAAAGCTAATGAATATAGAAAATATTTCATAAATAAATATATTTTAAAAAAATTATGCAATAAAGTATTACAAATACACTGTATTTTGTATTATTCTTGTACGCCCTTATGAAACGACCCTTTAGTGCCAATAATTGGAGAACTGTGCAGCTAGCTTTTCTTAAATTTATTATTATTATTACTACCAACAAAAAGAAAGTTAAAAATAAGAAAAAGAAAAAGAAAAAGAAAGAGAGAGTAAAATAATATATCTGCGTGTGTATTCTGGAAGGCCAAAGAAGAAGTAGCTGAAAAAACAAAAATAAAGAAAGAAGAAAAGTAGCTCACTTCACGAGTTCGTCTGTTCTTTCTCTATAAACACACACACACACACAAAGATACTGTACTATAACATATTTGATGAAGTAACACGTCTGCTAAAT